ACTTTGTTTATTATGTGACCAATCAGAGCACAAGAGATTGTAATCACTATCGTTATTCCCGCGTTTTCAATTTCTGCATTTCATCGTAGTTTCTTGCTGGAGGAAAGCCTGAAGAAGGTTTTGCAAAGTGATCGTTCTTTTATTTGTTCCACCTCAGTTGAGACAAAAGAAAAAATTTATGTTTTTGGAAAAAGTTCTTTTGATTTTCCGGCGAATATTAGTTCCTGTCTGGATGTGAATGTGAGCTGCTATTCAGCGACCAGCGAGTTGTCAGTTTGTAAAGCTTGCTACCGACGATTGATCAAGTTCAAAAAGGCCTCTGTTCATCTTGAAGAGTTCAAAGATGAATTGAAGGGAATCTTCAAGGATCGAGAACTTCCCAGAAAGAAGCGCTTATTGAGCGTTGAGAGCGACGGTGGAGAAATCCAAGCTTCGTGCCGTGGGAAATCCTCGAAATGTTTACAATTCGATCCGATCAATACGACTTGTACCTCTAATGCTACAGCCAATTCTAATATTTCTACCACGATCAGCCAAGAGGGACGTTATACTCCGGCAAGATTTCCTATTGGTTCTAATGGTGTATTGATTTAGATGCCTCAAAATTATCACTGGATAAACAAACACAAGAAAAACATGCTCAGGGGTATCAGAGCTAGATAAACAGTAAACAAAACATTTTTTTTGTTGCCTCATGGGAAATTGAATTCTGTAGTCCATAGCTTTTGAGAATTCACACTGTCTATTCAGTATGCCACTGCAGTGTTAAGTAGTCTATGAATAGTCTGGAACAACACAAATGTACAATATATGAGAGCCTAGTGACAAGTATGTGCCAATGATGACAAACTGTTACAGCCAAAAAATGTCAAAACAGGACCCTCGTCGGTAGCAAGCTTTACAAACTGACAACTCGCTGGTCGCTGAATAGCAGCTCACATTCACATCCAGACAGGAACTAATATTCGCCGGAAAATCAAAAGAACTTTTTCCAAAAACATAAATTTTTTCTTTTGTCTCAACTGAGGTGGAACAAATAAAAGAACGATCACTTTGCAAAACCTTCTTCAGGGTTTCCTCCAGCAAGAAACTACGATGAAATGCAGAATTTGAAAACGCGGGAATAACGATAGTGATTACAATCTCTTGTGCTCTGATTGGTCGCATAAGAAACAATGTCAGCGATCTCATTGGTGCAAAGACAACAAAGGGAAAGGAATGTTGTTCGAATGTGAGCAGCCGTTTGTGGGGAGAAGCGTTGCGTGACGAGACTAAAAACGGCTGCGAGGGAGACTAACAAGGACGCCGTTCTCACGGGAATGAAGATCGGTCGAAAAATCGCCGGGGTCAACCGAAACTTCACGAATTAGATCAGTACGCACGATTGTTCACTCATCAGTAGATTGATTGGTTGCCGAGTGATTTTACTGTTTACTTACGTACTCGGCCTTTCACTGCTGTGTGATCACAGTGTAATGTCACGTCTTTACCAAAAAAGGCTTAAAACGTCTAAGAAGAAGCCAATTGCAAAAAATTTCAAAATTTCAATCGCACACAGATATGGTAATCATCGACTTATCAGAACACGAGAATGTCTTTGATAACTGAGAAATAATGCTAGCCGTAATTAACTATTTATCACAGACAACTCCGATATCTCAATACTCGAGAAAAATAGAATCCCAAAAGATGAAGTTCTAACTTTTGAAAACGACACTTATGTTTTGCAATTTTTCGTAGAAACAAACAAAATATTCGCTAACCTTTCGCGATCTGACATTGTGAATCAGAATTTATCCCATTACCCGACGGCTGCCTTGGTTGTGTAAATATTCGTCACCTAGCTATACGTTCCTCGGAAACTGTTGAGATTGATCACCTACGACAAAAAGAATGTACAAAACATGACGCATGAGAGTGCAGAAGGCCGCTAGAACAAAGGCAATTGCCAAATATCATCCTTGAGTTAGGAACTTTTGTATTTTAGAGCGTAACTTTTATTAAATTATGCTTACCTTGCACTTCCGCTCTATACCTAATCTGTGAAAATTGTCGCTTCCCATCAAAGCTGTTAAGCACGTCAACCTTTATTATCTACGGCTGTACTTCTTAAACAGTAAGCACCTGGAACAAAATCGCCCTGTTCCTGATATTTAGACGATTTACGGATTAAACAGCTGCGGCGTCATCGCCGTTCCATGTCGGTCAAAATATTTTTTTATCAATCCGCTATCATACGGAGACCTGGGAACCAAAAATTGGTGCCTCGTTTGGGTGTGAGGCAGGTAGCTAGAGTAGTCAATTGCCTTTTCTTGTAGATATGAAATAAAAGTTAGATCCGCGTCTATTCAAAAGCAATGAAACAAATGCCTCGATAGTTATTGAAACTTAAAATTTTATTGCATGTTTTATTTCAGGAGTGTTTGTATCTAGGATCATAGTAGGAGCTTAGCGATTGCATCACTGGCAAAGTTCTTTCCATGGGCATTCAATATTTTCC